GGGCGAAAATGTATTTATTTATATTTAAATTGTATTTTTTTTGTTTTTATAAAGGTGTATATTTTTGTTTTTATAGATTGTTGTATATAGTAGTAGACTTTTTATCCCTTGCGATGTGATTGTAGAGTTTTCTAGTAATGATATCTCTTTTTTCTCCATCATTTAGATAGAGAAATTAAGAAAAAGTTCCACATTCAAAAAAGTGTTGCTGAGGGGGCTTATAGATTGTTACATCCACGACAACAAAAAGAAAAAAATGTTACATCCATTAAAAAAACATACATCGATAGAGATAATTCAGAAAAAGGATTAAATAATACTTAGTAGTTATTCTCGAAAATCCACTGACAATAATTTAAACTCGTGATTAAGTAATCAAATAACAATAAAGGAAAGAGGTGAAAATTCAAGCATGCGTTTTATTGTCACGTGTCATGTGAACAATCTTATCTCTATAGATTTGATAAATACAGGCCATACCTTTTTCTTCCCCACGTGGACCCCACAAATATCCTTCCCCAACAAAAAAAAAGTCACCGAGGAAGTGCTCGCCGGAGAAACTGAGCTAACTGCGCCGGAGACTGAGATGCGGCAAATGGCCTTCGGTTTTAAGAGTTTCCACGGTGGTGGTATCACCGCCTAAATTGTCTTTGTTTAGACTTTTATGTTGCCTTTGTTTCTATATAGTTTTTCACTTGTGTCGTCATGCATCTTCATAAAATTAAGTCGCGTATTGTTTCTTGCGAGGTGATTGTAGAGTTTTCTAATTTCTAGTATTGATGATATCTTTTTTTCTCCATCATTTACATATTAAGAACAAGTTCCACATTCAAAAAGTGATTATTGGTCCATCGAATGACCAAACCATATAATTAAGAAACAATATCGATAGAGATATTCAGAAAAATAATGGTGATTCTCGAAAAATCCACTGACAAATAATTTAAAACTCGTGATTAAAAGTAATCAATCGCAAGAAATAAACAAGTGAAAAAAAAAACGAACATGCGTTTATTGTCACGTCTCATGTGAACAATTTTTCTGATTTGGAAATTGATTGCATTTGGGTGATTTACTGCAACTCCCTCTCCCCAAGACTACGTACGGAATATAATAAATAGGGTTTTGGAGACGATGAAACAAAGATTTGGGCTTTAAATTGGCCCAATAGTGTGAAAATTTATTAATGGGCTAGAGCCTAAAGAGAGTGGTTCAATATGCGTTTTCTAGTATTGATATCTTTTTGTTCCTCCATCATTTACACAGAGAAATTAACCACACAATTAAAAAGTGTTTGATGAATGGGAATGGCCTAGAGATTGTTACATCCAATGAGCAAACCTTATAATCAAGAAACAATATACGATAGAGATAATTCAGGAAAACAAAAACAAAAATCCACTGACAAATGACAATAATTATTATTTTGTTTGGTCGGGGAC